TCCCTCGTAAATTAAGTGCGTGGATATCGTTTTAACACGAAGGGAAGCACTTTACTTTCACCGAAATCTACATTTTGAACTGTGCGATTCCCGCAACCGGGCACGCGATATTTTCGAGACTCTGTTGCTCTTTCCCCCCCTTTCAACGTATAGTTGCAGCCGAAAGCAACGGACGACTTTGGACCTCGGACGATGTGTCGTTCAAACTATCATCCAGTGTCGAACGATTTCTTCGTTTCACTGGACCCTAATGGTTGCTGCCGCGAGCATCGCCTTTCGAACTCGGCTTTGCTCGATTGAAAATGAAAGGTCCTGTGTTTCGTTGACGCGTGCAGTAGTGTCGCCGATTACGAATCGAAAGCGAGATATATAAAGACAAAATGGAAAAATAAGCAAGCGGCGAAGGAAACCCGATCGGCAATGCGCAACAATCGGAATGGAAAAAAAGTCTACTCGAAATTTGTCATCGTCGAAAATTGGATATACAGAATACACTGACTGTAGTCTACAAAGTGTATACTCGTGAATAAAAAAAAAGAACTTGGTGTCGGAAGTCGTATAGTCAAAGAGTGAAGGATTAGTGAGTCATTGATGACAATCGTACGGTGAAGACATCGACGGTAAATCATATTGAAAATTTGACCCTTTGAAATCATAAAGCTGGTTTCTCGATTTCTCGCTCGGTCGGTCTTAAAGGGTCGTTTTCGGCAAGTAACGAGTACACGAAGTAGAGATGTGTTTCACGAGTCGCGTTTCTATTTTTTCAGCGAATTGTCCGAGAATATTTCATGACATTCCAGGCCGCTTTGTCTATGAAATGTCTTTGCGACGTCACAGATCTACGAAGGCTTTTTTTCCGTCTTACTAGCACTCCTTGCTCGTTGAATTGTGCAAATTTCGTTGAATTTCCGGTGTGTGTAACTAAATGACTAATCACGATGCATGCTGGCATGAGAGGCGCTTTCATCGGCATGAAGATGTTACCGCGACACCGACGGATATCTTCGGAAAATAAGAAAAGGTAACGATCGGCTTTTGTTTCCATAAAGTGTATACTTTGCGATAACGCTTCCTAAGAGTTTGAGAATAATCGTGTGAATTGTCAATCGATCGAGTTTGCCAATATCTTTGATTTCGTAGGAGCAAAGATACGCTAAAATATCATTTAAAGGTTTATTCATTACAAGACAGATATTGATGGCTTCCGAAAAGCGAAGAGATTTTAGAAAAGATTCGAACCTTGATTTATACGAGAACCCTTTCCGCTGTTCAATGAAATAGTACTAGCTAATATTATTCAAATATCTTTTGTACCGTAAGCAGGGAATTCAAGGACACTTGTTTCCTCCCACTTACATTTTCATTATCAGAATACTTTAAAGTTTGGGTAAATATAGATTGTCAGGGAAGATAAGTGGTAGGACGATTATTCTTGGGAAGCTGCTGCCATCTAACGCAAGCTTTAGGAAACAGATAAAGAACGCGCCCGACCTTGTCGACACTAATGCAGGTGCCAGATAACAATTGCAACGTGTTCATTCGCCAAGCATTTGGACGATACCTGGCGATACTTGTTTTTCATTGAAAATCTCAAAGAAAAAATAGAATCGATCGACTTTCAATGACCGACTCGTTAATAACTTACCCTAATTTTTACTTAAAAAATGAGACCGTTGCGTCATCTCGTTTGCAAGAATCGATATATACGTCGATACAATGGATCATAGAAAAACGTACGCCCGGATTGGCAAACAAGCTGGAACGTTTTGTCCAACTGTGTGCATATATCGCCTCTCGGCAATCGAAACGATAGAATCGCACAGGTCGTATAATAGATCCGAGTATACCAGATACACCGTGACAACCGCTATATAGGTTGTTCAACTTGCATACAGGCTGAAATTGATTGGATAGTTTGCGGTCAGTTCAGGCTGTGTACGAGTGTACACGAGCGGCGAGGAGGATCGCCCTTCGAGATGAACAAGGCGTATTCGAATCGAACGCCAACCGGTTGAGAGTTTCTATGCGCTTTACCGAGAATTTGGCAAACAACTTTCGCGTTCTGGCAGCTCTACTGGACAAGCTCGAGTACATCGTTGCTTTCGTGTAGATCGTTTCGCAAAATTACCTGCGTCAGACACCTCGGCGTCACGGTGGCCGTTAACATAATCGCTATGCAGTTCTTTTAGACTACTCCACGCGATTCGACCTACGGATATATATCCTTCGGCCGTAAAAGTTTTACGAGCTACGAGGTAGGCTTTGACATTCGCAAACAATGTTATTTGCCTCTATCGCGGCGCTGCGTTTCGCCCGAAATCTGCTAACTTCGTTCCAAGAATAACGCGAAATGCTTGCAGCCATTCAGTTGAGCATATTTTCTTTACGTTTGTCGTTCCTTCGCTATTCTTCTTATTATCGTAGCGGTCGAACTAACGCATTGTCGCATGCGATTTCACGGTTCCTACATTATCCCGGTCGGTTCGAACAAAGTCGCTGCCGGCAATTTGATGAATGCCGTTTAAGGAAAAAAAGGGGCAACTGAACTGTGCACTATTGACCCAGGTCGAGAATCGCCTGCAAGTAATCGCATATTTCCCCCCTCGTGCACCGCTGCAACGAACATACCCGTGCATTTATTCTCCCTACGCATGTCACGTACATATTTACCCTCTTGCTGCTTATTATATTAATCGCTGTTGTGAAAATATCTTCGACAATCGTTCAAGGCGCGTTGCTTTAATCAACGTACGCCAGCTTAAGCTACCCGACTTTCCCGTAAAAAGAATCATTTAACAATCGCGCGATAACCTTCGGAAATTGAACGCACAATCTGTCAGAATAATCGAACCAAAGATATATTTTCATTGCTTACTGTCGGTAACTGGTTATTCGAACAAGTTCCTTTATAGTAATAGGTTTCGATAGGCGATCTTGAATACCAAGCGGCATGTTTGTACATTAGAAACGCTACTAAGCTATAGAACTGAAACGGCTTGTGGGCCGACTAGCAACCCGTCCAATAGGTCGTCGTACGCGAAACTGTATACGACTTGTCAACCGTTTCGTGTCACCTTGTTAGCACGTGTTCCACATGGCACGAGGTCGGCCAACATTTTGCTTTTTGTTCACTCGCCTCCATTGACGATTATGAAACCGTAAACGCCACTGCGACCAGTGAAATTGGAACGTATGAAGCCGAGCTATTTCCACGTTTATAGTCGGGCAGGAATTACACGCCAACGTATGGTGAACTCGACGCAAATAGAACGAAACGAATATCTTCTTAAACGCTATCGTGGAGTATAGTGGCGATCGAAGAAGCAAAAACGATATTTGCGGCTAGGTTGGAGGTGGCATGCGTCTTTTAATCGGAATCTTTTTAATCGCCGGCTGAATCAGCATCGACGCGCAGAACGTGTCGTGCATGTCCGGTAAACTCGACTACTGGGGCACGGCGCGTTAAACAGGTGAACGTGGGGGTCGGCGACATGCGGTATACGGTTACGGAGCGTCACGACGCCCTGCAGGCTACCGTTCCACAAACCACCGCCCCCAGGGTAAACTTTCTGTTACGTGGCGACGATGGCCTATAGCGTGTTGTTCGCTCTCTGTGTACGAGCCTTTGCCGTTTTGCTTCAAATCCAACGGTGTGCGCTACCCAGCGGCCCAGATTTTTTAACATTGCTCCAAGTGAAAAGAAAATAGCGGGATCCTCCGCACAACCTTGACAAACAAACCCCTAATTGACCTTTTTAGAAGAATCGTTGTTTGAACATTGTTACGTCAGTCCTCTGCTATCTACGGCAGATCGTGTCCTCGGATTTGCATTTTAAAAATTGTTCCTCGAAAAAAAAAAATCAGGCTGTCGAAGAGCGTCCCCTTCTTTGATAATCGTAAAAATAATGCGAATTAGCCAGCACTCGAGAGTGGCGTCCGCAGGTTCGATTTCGTCACGAGATTCTGCGAAGCGGAAGAACTAGCTGGAAATGGGAAAACGAAACGGCAGTAATTGAAACGAGTTGCTTGAGAGCATTCCTGGCGACCTTGTTCGGGAATCGATGTTGCCCCTGTTTGGAACAACCGACCTAATTTCCTGGATACGAGAGTAACACGCGACATCGGCGCAAGCGACGAAAGCAAATTCTTAATGATACCGATCCTGCAAGGAACAGCGTGTGCTATTGCGAGAGCCCATGGTATGGAACGCACGCAAGTCGACAGACGTGTCAAGCGGGTTGCGGGCAGCGATGGGTCCAAGTATCATAGAAGGGAAGTTGCCTCCGTCATAATAACTCGAATCGAATTTAATTTCCGATGATAGAACAATTTCACAGAATATCGTTGTTACCAACCGAATGAATTAAATTACTATTCCAGCTTAGGGAGAATTTATACCAATAAAGCGATGTACGTATACCAGTGACTTTATGCCGCCAATAAAATGGATCGTAAGATAAAAAAAAAAAAAGAAAGAAGAGAGAAAAGTTTTAGGTTAAAGGATAAGCCATAGTTTATGGAAACGATCTCTTCCTACCGGGATATTTCGCATGTATCAGCATACGTCAAAAGAATATTCAGGCTTATTTGAATCGTGAACGGAGGGGTTGGCCCCGCGACCGAATCGATCGCGACAGGGAAAAGTCGGTAATCGGATCAAGTCCATCGCTAGCAAACGGTCTACCGGCTGACCAACCACGGATACGCCTGCTACTTGCTTGCTTGCCACAAGCCAGGTCGTGTACGCTGGGTCAGGAGAGAGAGTCAGTTATACCGACGCCGTGCTACCATTCGCGTCACTCATTGGCCGAATCCTGACGACAGCTTCCTCTCGAACATACACACCGTTCGACCACGCAAACCCGATCTACCACAGAATCGGTCTGCAAACTCGTCTTCGTCTTCTCGGCAATTCTACTCTGCTTCTCATCTTCGTGGATGATAGCCACGAATCTCACTTTCAACGCCGATTTCTCCGTCACGGGACGACGGGTGGGTAGAGACGATCGTCTGCAAAGAGAAGACTCGAGTTTCGAGAGAATTAGCTCGGTGACACGGCGGTACGAGTGTGAGATTGCGCGTAATTTCGAATCCGCTCTGCTTCGCTCGAGATCTTCGAACAGGAGAGTGCGGAGTTTCTTAGAAACAGTCGTCGATTGCTTCGGATCTCCTTCTTAAAATGTGCTGTCAATTTTCAATCTCCGCGTAGAAACTGAATGTAGGACAAAGTTTTGAAAATTGGGAAAAATCCCTTGGGAATCTGCGAAAATTCTTGGAACTTCGTATCTTCTTGAAGACACTGGAAATACCAGTTTCCGGTATAGTTCTTAATTTCGATGGCATTGTTTCCTCGTTAGTTTTCGCCGAATGATTCGCATGATCGCACCGGGCCTGGTATTGCAGGGGAATCGAAATTAATTGGATCGGCGCTTTGACCGAGCGAAACTCGTAGGTGCGCTATGTGCTACGAGCTTAAGAATTCGATTAGGGTAGAAAATGTGGCAAATGAGGGACACTTCGAAAGTTTCGTTCTGCAAGTCGCAAGTGTGTCTATAGTTGAAAGGGAACCGATTTCGAAGTGGGTTGCTATGTTCGTGGCAAAAGTAACGAGGAGTAGAAAACTATTTTTTATTACGCGACCTCTGGAATCGAGTTAGCGCGATCGCGGATCGATACGCGACTGGTTCTCGACGCGTTTCGTCCTCCAATTAAACAGCACGTTAACGCCCCGCTTCATTTCTCTTTATTCTTCCCCTTTTTCTATTTTTTCTCCCGTCAAAACGCTCGAACAGAAGACTGCCGTTTGAATGCACGCGCGATTAGTGCGGGTGAAATTGGTGATCGGATCACGCTTGTCATTAGCAACCATCGAACCGTACCGTATGAGATTTAAACGTGCAAGTGCCGATGGCTTCGTGACAGACCCTCTCTTTCGTTCGATATCCGAAAATAATCCGACACCGTTCCGTATCCGTGCATTATCGCGATTAAATTAGAAAAACGGGTCGCTACGAACGGAGAAGACTACGATGCCGTGCGATTTTGAAAAACGACTGACGGCGAGAGATCGATTTCGACAGTTTGCTTAGTTGCGAATGTAAAGCGACGCGATGACGAATCTTGTAAACGCGTAAAGATGGTTTAAAAAGTTTGCCGCGCTCAAGGCCACGGGCTTGGCGTATCGATCTGCAGGTTCCCTGGATCGGGAGCAAGAACGCGGCAATAAAGAATTGCGGCAGTGGCGCGCCGTTGGAATTGAGGTTAGCGTGCCGCCAAACCTCTGGATCCTTTCTTCGTTTTCTGGTATTGACCGGGTGGGCGCTCGTGGCGTGCTACGCCGTCGCCATCTTTCGGAGCTTCGACTCACCGTTCGGAAAAATGAGTTTGGGCGGGAGGGAGGTGCACGACTGACGCGAGTGATTGACGATCGGGATGTGCGTTCCCATCGTGAGGAACTCGGCTTCGTAATCGCTTCAGCGAAGAAAAGCACGCACCAGTAATCTGCAACCGATTGTGTGCAAAGAAATTTCGCGACATCTCGCGAGGTGAACGAACGCTGACAATGTCGAGGCGAAGGCGCGACAACGGTGTTCCGTGCACTCGAGTGGAGAGGATTGGGCGAATCGAAACAACAACGAACTCGGATACGTCGCACGACTCGTCTGATCGACGCGAGGGTGAACGATCTCCGTGAAGGCAAATGTCCGAGATGGTTGGATCATCGGTCTCGCGGTCACATACACACGAAGGGAGACGTTTGTAACCGTCGCGAGTGAGTTCGTGCGAGGCTGGATGGTCGCCAGCTCGATCGACACGGTAGGTCGAGCACGTGGTGTAACCACCGACTGGTTCTGCTCGCCGCGTTGCACCATGCCAAACGCGACTCCTTTCGTCGTCTGGCTCGGTCGTGTGTATTCTTCCCCCTTTTTCCGTGCTTTCGAATTTTTTCAACTCGAAATTCCTCGCTTATCTCCCGATGCATCTGTCTCGTGGGACGTTTTCGGTGCTGCCGCCTCGCGGCACTCCCTGCAACTATATCTATTTTGGTTTGGCGGTGAGGAGGGCGTGGATAGCGGGTTAATTGGTCGGACGTGTGACTGCGTGAGATTGAATGTAAATGGATGTTCTGGTTCGAGTAGTCCTCCGCCTCGTGCTCACTCTTTCTCGCGTTTAACGATCGACTGTTTAGGTCGCGTTCCACGACCAGCCGAGTAAGGGAGAGGAAAAGGCGCGAAACCGCTTAAACGTAATCGTTTAAGAAGTTGCGAAGTTTCGCTCTACTTTTCGAACGTTCCACCCTTTCGTTACAAATTAGGGAATGTCGTCGATAGCCAGACTAATGGGGGAAAGTTGGCACGGATCCAGGGATTCGCGAGGGCGCGAACATAGCCGAGCATTGGTCGGAATGCCTATTAGAATTCCGTTGGCGTTTCCCAAGTGAAGCGTAGCACGCCACACCGGAGATTGGTTCGGGGCGCGAGGTCGCGCCGTGTCGAAGGGTCGCTCGATCGGATACGCTCGATGGCCGCCTTCCAGCTCGGCGTATCGGTTAGCGGGATCCGATCGGTATCGGGAGCACACGGTGGCCTTGCCACCTTCCGACCTTCCTCCTCCCCGTGATTCTGCCAATTTCTCGCGGCTCGCGCACCGGTGCTGCCACCAGGTGGTATTCAGCGAAAGCACGAGTCGTACAGGGCGAGAGATTCGTGCGATGTGGTGCGCGAAGTGAGTCGGCGTGATCGCGGAACGGAAGGAAGACCGTGTTTGGACGTTGCTGTGTACGCTATCGTACACGCGTTGTCACGGCTTCCAGCCTCTTCCCGC